GGGGGGGAGGGTTTGGAGACACCTAATAGTTTAAGTAGGTAGCTGAAAAAAATGTGATAGTTTAGGGGGTTTCGGGTATTCACTCAATATAAAATGCAGAGACAAACAATGGGGATTAGCTAACATTTACAGCTTGTTTGGATGGTTGTTGTATGTTGTATTGTATCGTATCGTTACTTTAAATACAATATTTATTTTGATTGTTATCTAAATATTATTGTATCGTATCATTAAATCTATCGTTACGAACGACGGAAAGTATCACTTTATGGGACGACAGAATTTGTGTGGTGGCATCGTTACCTTGCTTTTTCTCTCATCTTGTCGTTTCTTATATTAAATAACATTTTTTATCCGTTGTCCTACTTTTTTATACAATAATTCTACTTCGTATCATATTTTTTCTTAGTAATATTGCAAGAGTATTCTTCATATTTTTTGTGCGTGACATCATGAAACGACGGCGAAAGATATAATCTATCCAACGTTGTATACATCAAAACAATACAATACAATACAACGAAACGATACATTACAACCATCCAAATAAACTGTTAGTTGAATAAAAAAAAATTAGGTACGGTGGCAAATCATAACAGCCCTATATTATAACATGTTTGGTCAAACTTCTAAAATCATTTTATTATGTAAATATTTTTCTCAGTTAGTGTTTGACCAAATTTTTAAAAAGTGTATCTAAAAACCTGTTTGGCCAAGCTTTTTGGAGGCAAAAAGTACTTTTTTGTAATAAAAGAAAGTATCTATTTAGAAATTTAAGATGTTTGGTCAAGGCAGAAAAATATTTTTTAATAGTAACAGAAGCAGTTTTTTTGCTTTTGGGAAGAAGGTAAAAGTTCTAGTTTCTTCCAAGAAGCAGAAGCAGAAAATTAATATTTTCAAGGAAAAAAATATCTTTATCATAAATCTATATTTTTCAAATTATCCCTCGTTAATTTTACTTTTTTCATTACCTCTTTTATTTCTTCAATTCCTTTTTTTTTTTTTCATTTTGTGTTTTCGCCGCGTTTCTATTCATTTTCTTGTGGGCATGGCACATACCACAAATAGGATTCACATTCATTTCCCTACCTGCAAGTTTATCAACAGTATTCATATTACCATGCAGTAGAACCCACATTGTTATCTGATCAGCTTTAGGTTTGGCATCATTCTTGAACTATTCTATGTAATATTTTTATATTAAATTGTCACGATCTAACCTCGGTGTTAGATCTAATTTTAATGATGCAAATAGTATATCTGTGCAGGAAATCAATCAGAGAAGATCAAGGAATCAAGGAGCTACTACGAGATTGCTGAAGTCAATCTGGATGCTTAAGGAAAGAAATCAATCAGCAAAGATCATGGACAACTGCGATGGAAAGAATCTTTGCAAGCCTAAACTTAAGGCAACAATCAAGGGCCAGCAAATTCAATCCGGATTCTGAAAGAAGATTAGCAGAGCTGCCAATTGTGGAAGGACCAACAATCAAGGAGTAAACCCTCATCATCAACAGCTGTAGAAGGAAAGCGATTAATTGCGATCAATCTCCTCTCATCAAGGAAGAGCAACAACTAGCAATCTTATTCTTTGAAAGAATCAATCTCTTTCCAAGGATCAAATCTCTTTGGTTGTCAAATCTCGTCAGCAAGACGACTTCACCAAAGTATTTATACTCAGCATCCAGCCTTAGACACATATACTTTGATCGAACCAAAAATCCTCTCTTTATTCTACTGCAAACAAATATTGTAGTTCTTTGAGACCTGCTGTGTAACAAGTCAGAGAAAGAGGAGAGTATAACACTGGTGAGGCATTGTATCAAAAGAGACGAGTGTTATAGAAACTGAGCTATCACGTCATTTCCATTGTACTCGAAGAAACACATTTACTAAAGAGAACTCCCTTGCAACCCAAGGGGACTGGACTAGGATTCACATTGAATCCGAACCAGTATAAAATTCCGGTGTCTTTAATTCCTGCACTTACTTTCTGCGTTTTATATTCTGCTATTATAATTGTTAGGTTATTGCATCTAGTCGACTAATTGAAAAACCAGTAAACTAATAGAGATTAAGATTAAAAATACACAATTCACCCCCCCTCTTGTACTTTTAATTGGTATCAGAGCAAGGCTCACATTCTATTTTTGCTTAACAACTTGTTAGAAAAGATCATGGCAAATCAAGTCATCATAGGAGCTCTCTTCCAGGAAGGAACTTCACAAGTTAGACCACCATAATTCAATGGTCAATATTTTTCTCACTGGAAAGTGCGTATGGAGATCTTTGCCAAGGCTTGTGACGTTAAAGTTTGGAGAGTCATCAAAAAGGGAAACTATCCCTTACCTGCTGCTACTCCACCACTTGCTGATCCTGAAGATATAGACTCATATACAAAAGAGCAAATGGAAGTGGTACAAGTTAACAATAAAGCAAGAAATCTGCTTCACAATGCTATAAGTGGTGAAGAATATGAGAAAATCTCTAGCTGTGACACAACCAAAGAAATGTGGGACAAGCTTGAGGTTACATACGAAGGAACCAGCAAAGTAAAGGAAACACATATCAACATGTTGGTTCATGATTACGAACTCTTTTCAATGAAAGAAGAAGAATCTATTGAAGAGATGTTTGCCAGGTTCAGCAAAATAATTAGCGTTCTAAAGGCATTTGGCAAGCCATATACTAGTGGCGATCAAGTCAGAAAAATTCTCAAAAGCCTGCCAACCACTTGGCAGACCAAAGCAGTCACACTTGAATCTCAGGATCTGAACAAATTATCATATGATGAACTGCAAGGAGAACACATAGCTTTTGAAAAGACGCATCTCAAGAAGACTAGTCAAGAAGATAAAAAGAACATAGTCGCATTCAAAGCTTCAAGTGAAATAGCTGAAAATGAATTTGATGATGATCCTGAAGCTCTACAAGAAGAGATTGCTATGCTATCAAGAAACATGGATGGGTTAATGAGAAGATTCAGAAATACAAAGAAAGGAAGAATTCCGCCCAGACGATCCAGGCAATACAACGAACAGGACAAGAATGATGGAAAATGCTACGAGTGTGGAAGGTTTGGACATATTCAAGCTGAGATCCCAGAACTAAAAAGAAAAATTTCTAGAGGCTTTAACAAGAACAAATCTTTTGGAAGTTGGAGTGATGAAGACAGTTCAGAACACGAAAAGATAGCAAATCTTTGCTTCATGACGATTCTAGAAAACGAGATGAACAAATCCTCAGGATGCTGGACAGATGAGGACACTTCAGATGATGAAGGCAAGGATGACAATGAAAACTGTTTCATGGCACGAGGTGAAACAGGTGAGGTAAGATCTTATAACTGTGAAAGATGCAATGAATTGCAGGATATTCTTGATTTAACTTTGAAAAAACCTCAAAAAATGATGAATGAGCTTAAGAGACTAAATAAAGAGGTTAAAGACTGGAAACTCAAACATGAAGTATGTGAAATTGAAAAAGAAGTACTTCAAGAAGAGTTGGAGGAATTGCAAATGCAACTTAAT